GGGGCCCGCCGCCGCCAGCGGAGCGCGGGGGATCAACAACTCTCCCCGCCGTTTATTCCAGGAAAGCAAAACTGTACAAAATGCAGGAGCGGCAGAGAGCCGGCTCAATCCTCCTCCTCCTCCTCCTCCTCATCCTGGTTGATCTGGAAGTAGCGCAGCTCATAGCTCTCCTTGCTGTTGGCCACCACACGCAGCCAGTCCCGTAGGTTGTTCTTCTTCAGGTACTTCTTGGTCAGGTACTTCAGGTACCTGCGGGGAGAAGCCTGGCTGAAGGCGGTTCTGCGCCCCGAGACCCGCAGCGTTCCTCTGGCGGCACCCAGCAGCCTCGCCAGGACACCCCATCCCCCTGCAAACCCACACGGCAACTCCAGCAAACACAAACCCCCATTCCCATGGGTTTCCACCACCACTGGGAGCAATGCATCCTATCAGCCGCATCCCAGAAAAGTTTCCACCAGGAAACAACACCGCCGGGGGAATCACACCAGCAATGCCGCGACACGGAGCTTAGGAAATCATTTCCCTCCCCTCACCCTTCAAGGCTGAAACCACAGCACCGTATTCCCATGCCACTAGTTCAACACGCTGCAGTGAACCTCCGCTTAGATGGCAGCTAACTGCTGCCAGCTCCAACAGCGGCTGCAGGGACGTGCCGGGTGCGGCACCCACACAGAGAAACCGCATCAGCTGAAACATGGATGCTTACAGAGCAGGGCACTGCCCCAACACCACACACGGTTTTCCTCTTCCCACCATTTTAGACCTCCAGCTGCCTCACAGTGCTGTCTCTGTCACAGCAAAAACCACGTTTATCGAAGCCAGGAAAAGAGTGGGCAGCCACGAGAAGCAGGCAGTGGGCAGAAGCCCAGCAGGACGAGGAGTAGAAGAGCTTGGCTGCAGATCAACCCCTAAACTCCGCACTTGACACCCTTTCAGCTGCGCGTCCTCCCCGGATGCCCACCCCACCGGCCTTCCCAGCAAGAACATTGACCACGTATCTCTCTCAGAAAGATCATGTGAGAACAAGCAGCCGCTGCACCGAGCATCACACGGCGTTTAACCAAGAGTCTTGCTTGGCACGACTCCTGCACCGAGACATCTCTTCACTACCAGTCCCTCCTGCCCACCAGGCTCCTGTCTGAATGCTGGCAATCAGGCTCCCATCTGAACAACCAGACTTGATGATCTTAAAGGTCTTTTCCAACCGAAACGATTCTATGATCCCCCACCGAGGGCCAACTGCTGCCGGCAGCGACCAACCACGGCTCTGGGAACTGGCAGCAATCTTGTGACAGCAACTGGCACTGCTGGGACACGGGGCTGCACCGCCACCTCACCTCTTTGAGAACGGGACCTCCGATGTGACCGTGATCTTGCTTTTGCTCCTCTCGATGGTCACCACACCCCCTCCCAGGTTTCCCGCTTTGCCGTTCACCTTGATCCTTTCCTGCAGGAACTGCTCCTGCAAGAGAGGAACACCACCGCTGAGCTGGGGCTGCAAGCTCCCGCCGGAGAAGGCTTCCTCAGCTTGCCCATGCCCAGCGCTTCGGCTTTTTGTTAGAGCTGGGGAAGAGAGAGAAGTGCTGTTATGTCCAGGGGAAGCAGAGGAAAACTGCCTTCCTGCAGGCCAGGAGGCTCCGAGCCTGCCAGCACTTTCCACAACTAATCCAACTGGCCCATTCAGAGTTGTGCATAAGTGAGGTTCTCAAGCACAAATGCATCAGATTAACGAGGTAGGCACATGTTTCCTGCCTTCTGAGGGCACAGCCAGTGAAGTGATGGCTGGGTTAAGATCCTATGAGGACACCTCAGCCACAGCCCTGCGCTTGAAACCCAGTCGAGCACGGTTTGAACGAAAACAGGCTCATCAGAGAGCGCTGAAACACAGTGCTCCCTGCCCTCACCGTTCCTCACAGCATAACAGAAAACTCACCCCAAGAAGGATGAATGGTAATACTATTTGACAGGGAGGGAAAATGCTTGCACTTCAACTACAAAGTGTTTTAAAACAATAAACATCTCATAGCTGCCAGCACCACCCGGGTTCCCTTTGTCTGGAGGGTGTTTCCCAGCGCTGCAGGCTTTTACGCTGCACTGTGGTGAGGGGCAGAAACAGAGAGCATGGGCGGCGGGGGCTGCTGGGCCGAGCTCACCAGCGTACTGTTGGGAGCGGAGCCAGCAGCACCCCCCCGGGAGGCCCGGTGGGGCAGCAGGGCCGTCCCTGGGGCGGCGGAGAGGCCCCGCACTCACAAAGTTGGCGGCGTCCATGATGCCATCCTCCACGGGGTGGGTGCAGTCCAGGGTAAACTTCAACACCTGCTTCTTTTTTTTGCCACCTTTCGCTGCGGGCTTCTTCTGCAGCGGGGGGAAAGAGAGAGCCGTGAGGGATCGGCTCCGGGCCACGGGCCCGGGGACAGCGGGGAGGAGGGAAGGGGCCAGACCGAGCTCGGGGCTGGAGGCGAGGGGACCGGGCTGCGCTCCGGGCTGGGGGCAGAAGGAAGGGAAAGGGCCCTGGCCAGGATTCGAGCCGGGAGCA